TCCTCTCACCCCTCCCCTCCCTCACTCCTCCCCTCCCCCACCTCTTATGATTAGCGTTACCGACTCATGTATCTGAACCCCAAAGTCCCTTTATTCATCTTCTCAACTCTCCTCGAAGATGATTGTGGTACCAACTGAGCCAAGCTGATCAACAACACAGCTGTCGAGCTGAAATCCAGGCAAAATAAGTCCAATGCCTTCAAGAGCCTGAGGAAACTGATAGAGAATAAAGAATGGGGCAATAAATATTCAAGATATCCTCTGGCAGAATGATTGAGAGCTGCCACGCCTTTTGCAACAATACTGTACTCTTTGGTTTCACTTACTTCTGTTTACAAATATTACAGTACCTATTTTTAAATTGCTCACTTTGAAAAAAGGTATTGAAACGAACTTACAATCTGTCCTCACTCCTTTTCACCATGAATCTCACTCCCAACAAGTCCAGTAATAATAATAATAATCCTTGCATTTGATATAGTTATAGCGAGATCTCAAAGTGCTTCACAGAATATACTCTCAAGTGAATTGACTGTATATTTTGTAGGCGAAATTGTAATTGTCTATAAACAATAATTGTCTACAAACACTTTTGTAATACTAACCCTTGCATTTATATTCTGTGAAGCGCTTTGAGATGTCTCAACAATTAGACGCTATATCAAATGCAATGATTATTATTACGATGAATAATCATAATAATAATTTGGTCACTCAATCCATGATTGTTTGTGGGACACTGCTGTGCACAATTGCCTAGTGTTTCATCCACGAAATACACATATGGTCTACCAACCGACTCCTCTGTCCACCCTCTCACCCCTCACCCATCCTCTCCCCCAACTGTGAGGAGATGCTGGATTTCCTCAAGACCAAAATCGAGGGGATCTGTTCAGCCGCCTCTACCCGCCCAACCGCCACCCACACTCCAGCCTCTACCCATCCCTCCCGAATCTGTCACATCTTCGAACTTGTCTCCCCCTCCTGTCTCACCACCAGTATAACCCGCATGAAGCCCACACCTGGTCCCTCGACTGCATCCCTTCACCTCTTCTTACCTCCCAGCTCCAACTCCTCACCCCAATACTCTCAGACCTCATCAACCTCTCTGTCAACTGGCACCATTCCCACTCCCCTAAAAACAGCTGTCATTATTCCTGTTCAAAAAAAACCTTCCCTGGACCCATCCCTGCTCACAAACTACCGCCCCATCTTCAACCTCCCTTTCCTTTCCATGGTTCTTGAAAGAGTTGTTGCTTCCCAGCTTTGCTTCTTCCTATCCTGTCACTCGCTTTACAAACCCCTCCAATCGGGTTTCGTGCAGCCCACAGCACGTAAACAACCCTGGTCAAGGTGACAAATGACATTCTGTGCATCTCTGACCAGGGCTCCCTCCGTCTCCTTGTCCTCCTCGACCTCTCTGCTGCCTTCGACACTGTGGACCACTCTATCCTCCTCCACCGCCTCTCCTCTCACCTCAACCTTCAAAGTTCTGTCCTTGAATGTTTCAGATTCTATCTCTCACACTGGCTGCAGTTTGTCTCTGCAAATGGCTTCTCCTCCAGCCCCCACACTGTCTCATGCGGTGTTCCTCAAGGCTCTGTCCTCGGTCCTCTCCTCTTCGACCTGTACATGCTCCCTCTTGGTAACATCATCCACAGACATGGGGTCAACTTCCACATGTTCTGCGGATGACACCCAACGCTATATCTTTGACTCCACCCTCATGCCAGGACCACTGTTTTGACAGAAAGTCCTGGATGAAAGCTAACTTTCTACAGTTGAACGTCAGCAAGACCGAGGCTCTCCTGATTGTCTCCCGTCAGCGCCTCCTCACCTCAGGTGCTGACAGCATCAGCATCCACGGATGCACACACCACCTCACCAAGACAGTCAGGAAACTTGGCATCTTGCTTGACCCTCAACTGTCCTTTCTCCACCACACCCGTGTCATGACCCGCTCCGCCTTCCCCCACCTTCACAATATTGCCCAATTCCACCATTGCCTCACCCCTCAGGCCACTGAAACCCTCATACATGCCTTCATTACATCTAAGCTCAACTATGCCAACTCCCTGCTTGTTGGACTTCCCAACTCTTCCCTCCACAAGCTGCAGATCATCCAGAACTCTGCGGCTCGTGTCCTTTCCTGCAACAGGCTCCATGACCCCATCACCCCCACCCTCGCCCGACTCCGCTGGCTTCCCATCGCTCAAGAGGATCGAGTTCAAAATTCTCGTTCTCGCCTTCAAGGCCCTCCAAGGCCTTACCCCCTCCTAACTCTCCGACCTGCTAACCCTCTATCAACCCGTCTGCTCAGCAGGTTCTGGTCCGAGCCATGTCGCCCGCCCAGCCCGGCACTCCCCCGCCCCACCATCGTCGGTCGGAACTCCCATCCCGCCTCCCCTCCCCTCCCCTCGCTCCCTCCCTCCCTCGCCTCCTGCGAGGCGCCTCTCAAAACCCTCCTCGTCGACCGTACCTTCGGTCACCCTCCTCTACCCTCCACACCTCCACGATCGCAACCCTCCCCCCCACCCCGTCTTGGTCTAAATGACCCGGACCGTTCAGCGCCTGGGGATGTCCTCCCAATGTGAAAGGCACTTTACAAATATACCACTGTACTACACATAGACATCTACATCGACACGCACTGTGATGACAAAGTGTCCAACAATACCGCTGTTGCGCATGCGCGCACTCACCCAGGCAGACCCGCGACGCTCTGCCTCGCGTCGCTGCGTGCGTCGCTGCGTGCGTGCGTGCCCACGCCGCCGACGCACTTTGCGTGCGGCGCGTGCCTACGTCTACGCCGACGCACTTTGCGTGCGCGAGCGAGCGAGCGAGGCGGCGGCTCTGTGTGTGTGTGTATTGGCGCCTTTGCGCCCGCAGTCAGTTGATGTCGATGTGAGCGAAGGAGTGAGTGAGTGAGTGAGTGAGAGTGAGGGAGAGCGGTGACGACGACCACACAGCTTCACCTCAGCAAATCCCCCTCCACCTCCCCCCCCCCGAGTGTGTGTTTATTTTAATATATATATATATATGATTTACATATATATAAAAAAAAATTAATAAATTCAGTGTAAATCATTCCTCCTCCGTCCGTCCGTCCGTCGCCAACAACAACTCGGACCGGGACCGACCGGGCGAATCCGAGCGGCGGCGCCGAGCAACTCGAGAGCCGAGGCTTTGCCCCTCTCCCTCTCCCTCCCTCTCCCCCTGTGTGTGTGTGTGTGTGAGGGGCTGGTGGGTGGGGTGAGGGGGTGGGGGCGGTGGTAGCTGTGGGAAGGGTAGGTTGACTGAGTCGTTGCCGCCGGGGCCGAGGAGGGAGGGCGGGAGGGAGGGCCGGGGGTTGGGGAGAGGACAGGAGGAGGATTGAGGTGGTGTGTGTGTGTGTGTTGGGGAGAGAGAGTCTGGTCTCGTCTCGTCTTGTCCGGGGCCCTGTGCTTCGTGACGGGCTGTCAGGCCGGGCCGGGCCGGGCCTAATCACCCCGGAGGGAGCGGCCGGGGCTCCTCGGGGTGTCTCCAGCCGCAGCGACCAGACCAGAGAGCCTCCCCGTAAACACAGGTAAACACGACGGATAGATAGCAACCGCGATGGGCGGCGGGGGGGGGGGGGGGGGTTGGTGGGGTATAATTAGGTGTATGTTTTGTGTAGAGAGAGGGAGGGAGGGGGGAGAGAGAGAGAGTGAGGGGGGGAGGGGGGGAGAGAGAGTGAGGGAGGGGAGGGAGAGAGGGAGGGGAGGGGAGGGAGGGAGAGAAGGAGGGAGGGGAGGAGAGAGAGGGAGGGAGGGAGGGGAGAGAGGGAGGGGAGAGAGGGAGGGAGGGAGAGGAGGGGGAGAGTGAGGGAGAGGGAGGGAGAGAGTGAGGGAGAGAGAGAGAGTGA